GTCATTCCCGAAAACGACAACACCAACATTGTCAGGCTCCAAATTTAGAGCCATACCCTAAGGAATGTTAACACTTTAGATGGTTATACCTTTAATCCAGACGAGAATTCCACCATCTCTTCCGCTTGTATATTTTTCAGACCATAGACACGTGCGATCCCATCACCGATACTCAGGACACGTCCAGTTTCCTCCAAGTTTGTTTGTAATGTTTGTCCTAAAATGCGTTCCTCTAAAATACTGGAGAATTCTGGGGCTCCAGCTTTTAAGGTAGATGAAGTGGATAGCCATCGGCATCCAAGTTGTTTAAATACCTAAAAAGAGAGGAAAACATTAATTTTACAGATCAGTAGCAACATGTATGCAATGTACATGGTAATAATAACAAGTGCTAAATTAACTAGGAATTGAAAAATATGGGCTGTGATATCATGATGCGGAGGAAAAGGGTGTTATAAACAGCTCTAGGTTAATATATTTTAGAGAAACAAAACAACTAGAATTCTTTTATTTTAATAAAAAGCCTAAATTTTATCTTTGCTTTTATGTATGTCACGTGGTTCAGTTAAATTAACGGAACAAACCGATAGTTGTCAAAGGAAAATGATAAAGCATATGGTCAAGTCATCCAACAAATGGGCATAAGTGGGATGCGTCTGGTGTAGTAGACTAGAGATAAGTCAAAGGCAGTCAGATCAAGACGCAGCAAAATTCCATAGAGTCATTGACTGTTGAACTGAGTTATGTAGGTTGGTGAGGATCACATGACTAGAGTCCACGCAAACATTGTAACGAATAGTTAGACTCTGAATTACACGGTTTAGGATCATCAGTAGCACGTGTAAGATTGCTTTTTACCATCGCATTGTGCACTTTACATTTAGTGACAATGAAGCTTAATTATCAAAAACAAACATTTCCTTTCATTTCAGAACCTGACTGAATATGCACACCAGCCTAAGCCGATAGAACAAGATTCCAACCTGAAAACTTACAGCTTGGAAATCATGGTCTAATTACAAAACGGGCCTTTAACAAACACCTAAACTACATGAAGTAACAGAACTATAAGGCTCAGTCAGTCACAACGTAGAACCAGGCACATATATGCATAGTAGTTACTTAAATAGTAATATTATATAAAATATTGAGTATAAGGATACAGTAATGAAGCAGTTCGTAGAAATAAAGGTACAAGGCGTTTAACCTCACTACTACTTAACCGGTGATCCCAGCAGATGCGAGCAATACTTCTAGGATATCTGTGATCAAGTACTAGTAACTCACGAGTATCTTCTACTCTTAATGGCCACATTTCGCTGCCGTAGAATAGAACACAACGAACTGCTGCGTAGTATACTCGTCCCTTAATTTGTAAACGGATATCTCGCCTTCTCCAAGGGTGACGTAAGTTGTCAAAAGCCAAACGAGCTTTTTGAATCCGTGCAGAGATTTGGTCAGACTTCAACCCATTAGGGCTGATCAGACTTCTAAGTGAAGCTGTCAACGCGTTCAACTACTTCACTCCCCAACCTTGGTTTAGGTGATGACGCAGACCAGTCGTGAAGCAACAACTTGCATCTAGAGGGGTAGAACCGCATCCTAAACATATCGGTGTTGTTGCTCAGTGTTACCAAAAGACTATTTTACCAGTCGTCACCAAACAGGACTATATCATCTGCATATTCTGAATCGATAAGTGGACCTCCTAGGAGATCAATTTCTGAAAATTTAGACAACGAGAACGTTGTTTCTAGCAGTAGATATATGACGTTATTGAACAAAAATGGAGATAATGAACAGCCTCGACGGACACCACTTGAGGTTGCGAAATCAGATGACAGATCGCCATAAACTCTGACTCGACTAGTAGTAGTAGAGAACCTTCACAAGGTTTATGTACTTCTGAGGTACACCTTTCAGTGACAGACACTGCCATAGAACCTCTCAGTTTACAGAGTCAAATGCTACTTTCAAGTCAAGAAAAACTATCATTGTCGGACGCCTATAAGCATGCCTGTTTTAGAACCTGACGAATGGTGAATATGTGGTCGATGCAGCCACGACTATGTCTGAAACCAGCCTGGTTTATTCGTGTTTACAGTTCACCCGTCTTTGTTATGCGCCCGATAACTATTGAGGCTAGCATTTTAGTCAATCTAATCCCTTTGTGGCTATCACAGGATGGTGTCGATCACCCCTGATATATTGGGACAATTAGTGATTGCGATCAATCAGATATGACTATCTTCAACTCCCAGGTTCTAAAATATTAATCAACCTAATCGCCAAAATTGGATCACCATGCTTAAAGACCTCTGGAGCCAATCCATCTGAACCAGTTCCTCTTCCTTGTTTCAGATTAGCTATGGTTTCTTGGACTTTAATCAGAGTCGGGAGCCTACTTCAATGTTCCATTCAGGCTGTTCGGAATGGTGGGTCGTGGTAGTGGCTGAACAGCCCCTTAGTGTTCCGCCCATCGTTCTAAACGTCTGAGAGCAGATAAGAACATCATCCTTTTTAGGCGATCGTCTCACACTTGACTTTTTATAAATTTCAGTTTTTTTTATTATTCTGTAGAGCTTTCCTGTGTTCCCTATAGTCGCCGCCTTTTCCATCACTTGCTTTCGTTGCCCACCACTGCTCATGGTCGTCCCTTGGACTTTTGGTTAACCTAGATCTGATTTGTTTTCGATCTTTATCGTGTTCGGAGCCTGATGGGATGAGTTCACGAGAATCCATCAGTGCAATAGACTTAGAAATTTATTGGTTTTTTGTAACCCTTTGGTTTAAATCGCTAATAAATGTCACTGCTATTTCCACAGCTGTTTGCATATCTTTCCAAGCAACATCTGGGTCAGCTTCGTTTTAAGAGCTACCTCAGCTGATCCTGGAATCTACTTTCGGCTTTCTCGTAACTCAGTTCAATTTTAATGGGTCTTCTTAATGTGGTTTTTCTGCGTCCTGTGAGGCGCAAGCAGATGTGTGCCCGGAGTCCAAGCAGGTATTGCAGAATGAGCAACGGTCTTCTATCGAGCCTCTCCAACGACGAATGATGGCAATATGGTCTATTTGAATTCATCGTTGGTCTGGTGCAAGGGGTCGCCATGTTAGACGATGTCTCTCCTTATGCTTAAAATTTGTGTTTGCTAAAAATAAAACATTGTCTTAGCACAGTTGCAGCAGACGATCACCATTATCTGTTCGCTGAGCCGGGATACTAAAATACCTACTTACATGTCTTAGTGTTTGACTTAAGCTACCTACTTGAGCATTAAAGTTACCCGTTACGAGTATTATATTTGAGCGTTTAGCTTTCTCTAAGTCATCTTTCATTTCATCCGGGCTGCAGTCGGTGCGAATATATGCAGAAACGACGAAAAGGCAACAGAGTGTGTTCCTATCTTTCCGAGTTCTTACGCAGCTGTTTAGCCGAACAGCACATAGATGACTTAACATGGATCCATTCTAATAGTGCTCTTACTTAGTCAAGTCAGGTCTATGAAAAATACCAGTTCTTAAGACAAATTAATATGTATTAATATGGACATCCGAATATTTAATGATGCACTTCCTCAACAGAACGTGTTCGTATACTTGGTATTTGCAAGAGTAGGTACTGCCACTCAGTTGTGCAGGCTGAGGCAAGTGGGGATGGTCCATAGATGTAACCCAAACGTTAGAATACTGGACCTTAAGCAGCGAGTCAGGACTCACCATATACTAGAGATTTTGGTCTGCAAATCAAATACTCCGCTACACACTTCCTTTCTGTCAGCGAATATGATTTGCGCATATTTACTATACTTTTTTCTTGCAAATTTCATCTTGATGTTTCCTAGAAGTTTGTTGGTTTAAACGGTCACGCTTTAAGGTGCAGTCTAACTTCGACACATATAAAAGTTGTGATTCTAGTATTGTTTCTAAAAATTTCCAGCACAGGATACGAACGTATAATATACAGGTTTAAAAATAAATTAACTGGACGGATTGTTTCAAAACCCTAGAATTAAGTTGCCTGGAGCTCGAATGACTTATGATAAGTTCCATTATCAGTAAGGAGTTGTTCCACCGAATTCTGGCTGAAAGACTGATATACTATATTTGTGAAGTTACTGAAGCAAACTACGTGCATGGACGATTTCGTCTTAATGTCATGTCATCTAATACATTCTCAACGCGTTTTCCCCTAATGAAATACACTATTTTGATCACTCGCTGTCAAAATCTTTTGTCTTGGCGACCCGAACCAATACATACTCTTAATTAGATTTATACAAACGCATTCACTAGGTAACTTGTACTAACGCTATAGCATATAATACCAATGTGATTTCTAGGAATCAACCTGACGTAAGTACTGGTCGATAATCTAAGAGATATAACTACCTAGGATGGGAAGGGCTGCAAAGCGAGAAATAGGAGGTCGCTACTATAAATATTACTAAAGTTATATGTCAAAAAGACCATCAGGACGACTTTTACACCGACAAAAGAAACCGCAACAGATTGAAACCTGCTTATTTTGGGTTTATATAGATCGAAAAAGTAGATGCATCCATAAGTAAACTCACACATGGATTTCTTTTGGACAACTGCCGTGCAACCAGTCCAGCAGCACGAAACGAAGACATGACAACAGATGAGTATGGAAGTGAAACAGTACAACCCCGCGTTACAAAATAGACCACTAAAACAACCAATCAACTAAAAATGATATAGCCTATAGTGGTCAGTATATTGTGTAATTCTATTTTAACTGACCTACCCTGAGGCTGCTTATTTGTAAATTCAGCTTTCTCGCCACCATATCTAATTCAGGAAATATTTTTACAATAAAACCCTCTTGTATAAGATTATTCTGGAACAAAATGACGGTTCAAAGATTAAGAGTGGTTTTAGCCATAAGAGTCTGTCAGTTAAATAACCTCTTTGATACTTCTCTGAAGAAAGTTATCACCATTGTAGCGGTAAAAAAACAGTTTACTAAATCTTTGATATTAATACTTACCTCAATAGCTTAACTGGACACATCCCAGCTGAAGATGATTGTTCACGCATCCGCTACGCATCACCAGTCGGTAAGCCGTATTACACATTCCTACAACAACTGTTCAGCCTAATTTACATGCTACTTTCCAAATATATATTCGAACTCTTTCATTCCGGACTACTGAGTTGACTTTCTTTGGGATTACCGATTACGGAATTGTGGCGGCAAAAAACCCCCAAAATCAATAGTTCTGCAAGTATTTGACATCTGATGTCGATCGAATTAGTTTTAATGGACACATCTAGCAGAAGGCACTCAGTAATTCATTTTCACCAGATCACTACTGGGTACTCCGTGCTACATATATACAACCGTTAGCCGGCTTAGGTCTAGCGCTTCTCGAGATATCGAAAGCCTTTCAATATATCTTCGAACATCTTCACTTCTAACTTCTGACTTGACTGTGTAGGTATACTTTGATGATAAATGTGTTACTGATGTAACAGTAAACATATCTCCAAAATAAATAGCTCTGTAAGTCTTCGACATTGGTTGTTGGCCATACTGTTTTTAATGGACTCACCTAGTTGAAGGTGCTCGGTCATACATCTGCACCAGATCACAAGTGGAAACACTATCATCAACATCTCTTGCAATCGCTAGCCAGATTAGATCAGACGATCCTCAATTTATTGATAGCCTATCAAAAATGTCTTCGAACCTCCTCACTTCTGTCTTTTGATTTCACTTAGTGGTTACGATTCATAGTGGAAGGTGTTACTGTTTAAAGCAATTTCAAACTCCAAATAATGTGGCATCTTTACTGGTAAAGGCGTTGTCGAAGTATGATTACTTGTGGCATCCTCAATGATGAGCCCGATGTGACCTGGTACACCGATTCGTAAATTGTGAGTCTGTTCCTTGTTAGAACATCTTATGTGACTTTTCAATTTTCATTTTTACATATTGTGGTGTTTTATATTTGAATTCATTAGTCAATTGAAGCTATACCACCATGGAAAACCTGTAGAACTGGGAGACCGTTTCGTCCTGGTATGGGACTCCTCAGCAGTGCGCATCCACGATTTCGCTCCGCGAGATGATGGGGAGTCCCATAATAAGACGAAACAGCCATCCAGTACTTCCAGGTTTTCCATGTTGGTATAACTTCAGCTGACCCATAAATTCAACTATAAAATTACTAAATACTCCACAAAACCCTTCTGATAATATTGAAATTTCGTTCTCATGTTTTCGGACTTATTTTCTCGTTCATTGGTATACGTTATAGTCATCATGTTAAAACAGACTCCTAAGTTATTTTAAGATAAAGACTTTTTCGCCCCCCTCGTTTCACCTGATGCCCTTCTGGTCCGATAATACAGAAGCCTGGTTCTGTTGCACAGAAGCTGACTTCAATGAGCGCGACGTGTCAGACCCCCATACACAGTTCCTCTCAGTGGTAAAGGCACTCTTAGCAATCCGAATACTTTTGACGTCTTAAAAGTATTTCGTAAGGTAGCACTGGCAAACACAGAATACACGCGAAAACTTTCTATATTCGTCTCTTCTTGTCGTTTGAATTCTTTTCTTTTCCTTTGACTGATAGAGATAATGGTGTCAACATCAGTGTGGGAGACTTACAGAACTATTTATTATGGGGATTCATTTGCCTCTAGATGGCTATCACAAATCATAAACTGGTCTCAGGAATATTAGATCCTTTTATAATGAGAGTAGAGATTCCCCATCAAACACACCTTACAACGATAGTCTGTAGTGGCATTAGACCATATCCACACAATCTTCAAAGCTGAACACAACACTACTCAGAAAATAGATATTCAATATTTAACACGGAGAAATACCTACCAACGGAGAAGGCGCGAACAATGAATTGAATGGACTGGAGTTGGTCGAGTGGCATGGCTCGGCCATGCAGGCGTGGTCTCTGCTGAATGTTACTTTATATCTTCTATTCATATTAAATATATTGTTCCTTCTCTAACCTAACCTTGTTCTACATCATGTATTGGTAATTGATACGATACAGTGAGTTGGTGTAGTCGATGGTGTGACTTCCACGTAAGATCTTATAGATTAGGCAGTTATATCATGACAAATCTACAAATTTAGGATTAGGTTTATTATTAGAGCAGTACTAATATCATAGTAGACCATAGTTCTACAAGTCTTAAAAGCACTCAATTCTGCCTCGTCTTATACAAAATTTTGGATGACCATCCGTCATCAGTAAACCGATGTCTTAGCAGTGATTTCGTCTGGAGTTGAAAGTCGCTTGTTTACTTGCACATAAACCGTATTGGACAGATATTCTCCAGATAACCTCTTGAGTAATTTGTATTCCAGTGAGTTTTGATGCTGGATCCCTAGCGATGAAACTGTATGGATAAGAGTCAATTAACAACGAAACATTGGAATAGAAGTAGTATAGAGCTTCAAAGTTATTCACTTCTTTAACTTTTCTAGGAATTATGTTTCGTGCGTCTTTGTACTGAAAGTTTGCATGTTAGATTAAGACAACCTGTGACACCTTATCCTTCATTTTGTATAATAAACATTGTGACTGAATGATTGAGCCTTTTTTATTTACTTTACTACACTACATGGAAATGAAGGTATGTTTCTAATAAATATAACAATACTGTACTTTTCAAATACTTTTGACTACTTTTTTTACTCATAAAACCATCATTTTCACTTCGCATTTATTGAATCTCCTACCCAACCCTAAATATATACGGTATTCTTCCATCCCAATCAACTGACGGTGAACAAAAATGATGGCGCACCCTTGAATAATGTTAAAAATACGCCGATTGTATGTTAGAATATCAAATATAGACAAACAATATTGCATCTCCATAAAGCTTTACTGAAATAAACGTGAGTGTGTATACAGGTGCATGAAAATATCAATTCAACTGAAGTTCATGGGTCAGTGATCACAAGAAATACATAGCACTAACTACGCATGATAAAAGAAGCAAAATTTGATTGTAAGAACACAACTGTACAAGTAATGATAAACTTTATAAAATAATACAAGTTCTAGCCAATTTTTCAAAGTGGAATGTAGTTCAATCTTCGACAAGCAGATTTTCAAATAACAGTCATCAATGATTATTAGGAATGAATAGTATGCGCGTTAATAATTAGACAAAGAAATACAGATTGTGGAAAGATAGTAAAATAATTTATTGAGTCATGTCCGGCTAATGTAGGGACAGGAGTGTCATGAATTTCTTCTAATCTCATGGTCTAAAGTGATAGGTTCGGATATCCATAAATTCGGCTATATGCATGTAGTGGGATCAAATCTCATTTGAAAACGACAGCGTTATAGGATATATCACACTTAATAACTTGGCTTTATCAGCCATATAATAACTGTCTACCATGCACTCTAAGACAGATCGACACATTATGGTAGCCTGGTACTTATCCGAGTCACCCATAGAGATTTTCAATTATTATGTTGTGACGCTGGCGAGCAGTCACTCTAACATACTTATATCGGTTACTTACAGCTATTGTTTCTCGTAGATGAGCATACGTCACTTACCAGCATTCTTTATTCAACTCCGTGCCAGGCGATCATTTACAGTCTTGTACAGTGCTATTCATCCTTTTCATGTGTGCTTCCAACTCCCGGCTCAATGTATTTCATTTTTCGTCCTCTTTTCCGTTTCCTTTTCAGGATTCTAAGTTAGCGCATGCATCATGATGGAGTTTGGTGACTTCCGTTATGTATATCTTATCTACTTTCAGCGTCTTTCCCTAATTTCCTCCTCAGCTGCAAACTGGTTTGTTCTCCCCTGCAGTTGATTGTTGCTGATGTTATCTGGTTAGTGGACATTCAGTATCTTGCATAGAAATAATTGTACTTTTTTATGATGGTTGAGGTTGTTTCCCAAGTTTCAGCTCCGTACGCTAGAACTGTCTTGATTTTTTTATTAAAGGTTCGCACTTTGATACTGACTGACAGTTGTTTTGATTTCCACATGTTCTTCAACTGTAGGAGTGCTGTTCTTGTTTTGCCAATTTTCGCCTATATATCTGCATCAGATCCTCCAAGTTCATCGATGATGCTACCCAGATACGTGAAATTTTACACATCTTCCAGGGCTTCTTCATTAACTGTGATTGGTTCGGTGCTTGCTGTGTTATATTTAAGATCTCACTTTTTCCCTTTTTGTATATTGAGATCCACTATTGCAGAGGCTCCCGATATACTAGTCGTCTCCACCTACATATTTTGGTGTGTGTAGGATAGAAGAGCTAGGTCATTCTCAAAGTCCGGATCGTCTAGCCACCTCCAAGCCTTCCACTGAATCCCGTACTTCCTGTCAGATTTTGAGGTCGCTATGATCCAGCTAACCACTGGAAGAAAGCGAAATGGTATGAGTAAGCAACCCTGACTGACATCAGCTCTCAATTGAAATGCATCAGTCAGCTGTCCTCCAAGCACGATTTCGCATTGTGGTCCGTCGTATGAGTCCCCCAAGATGTTGACGAAGTTGCCAGCTACTCACTCCATGCTGCTGCTGAAGGTTCCATAAGGTTGTTCGCACTGTCAAACGCCTTCTCATAGTCAGGGAAGTTAATAGATGGTGACAA